AATGAACGGTTTTTGGTAAGATAAATAGAGCACCCTTACTGTGACCTTTTGGTATTTCTTGTCTTTCTTCTACATTCAAGGTTTAAATTTTACGTTTGTACCTTCCGTTAAGCACCGTTACATCAAACAGCTGGTTCCCAGCATGACCATTGTGTCCACTGCCCATATCTAACATACATTGTACATATGTACATTTGAAGCTCATACACAGAGTTCGTACCTGTTTATCAATAAAGCTTTGCTTTTTTGAGCATGAAGAGCACCGCTAACTATATTCCGTGTGTGTTTCTGCTAAAGAAAATAGCCACCTGCTTCATAGGAACCTCACGTAAGTCCAAACATACCACCGCTCCACATTGTTCTTTCGCCGAGTGTCCCTCTGTTTTCCATTAGATCCCCTTTCCACTTCTCTACGTCTAAGCGAGCGTATAATATATATATTTATATATTATACGCTCATAATAAAAACGAATGAAAGACAAACAGCAAAAACGCAAACCTTTTCACCGCGTACATGCTGAACCAGCGTTAAGTATTCTGTTCATCCTGTAGGTTTCCTTACACAAACACAGACGAGGTATCTTTTTCTGTCATTTAACTCCATCATTAGGTCCGATTAAACCTAATGACACGACTGCACATATCGAGGGTGACATTTCCAGTTCTACTTTTTTGGGCAAGGAAAACAACGCACAATGAGTAACGTTCATTCCATCTTGGTTTCCCGCTACTACCTCATGATATGCGTTCATTGGCAGTTTCATAACGCTTCTTATTCTGCAGTGTGATGGACTAGTAGATGCTGGGTCGACGCAAACGACGGAATTGCTTACGGTTGTCAAGAACGAACGATAGAAGGGAAATTATTGAGGTCGCTAAGTCGATCCGCGAAATCGAGAAACACTACGCACCGCACTTTTTAAAAAAAGCCCTTGAAAGAAGTAACACACTCTCTCGGTTCCTTTGCGCTTCCTGGCTGCTTTGGCCACACGTTTCTCCCATTGTGATGGTTCCAGCTCTGCACGAGCTAGGTCGAACCGAGTGAAGGGAGAGTCCGCGAGTTATCGAGACCGCTCTGGACTGTCTTATGACTCCTAGATGAGTGCGAGCGCTCAGTTCTTTATTGTCTGTACGGCATGGCCCGTGGCAAAGATGGGAGTACGGGATGCAGGTGATACAGAACAACGAAGGGGGATGGGAATAAGAAACGGGTGTCTGGTCTTAGACAACGGACAATCGACGAAGGGAGATAGCCAGTAGTTCGTCTGACCGATCATCCGTATCTCGATGTTGCGAACCTCTTGAGGGCTTTGATCATCTTTTTTTACTACCATTTGTGCCCGGTTCAAAATAGCAGAAACTGTAAAAGCGTCGTTTGGCGCGTTCGTGTCGACTTCCGACGTCGATAGTTAGGAAACAGAAAAAAAACGAACTGATAGAGCAATCGACTGGAGATAGAAATCTAAATCGGACACCTTCTAGTTTTGGATACTTGAATGCTTGTTTTATAGCGAAGCCCGGAGATTATGATGCGCTATAGCATTTTATTCAGCACTATCATCCTGAATATGTCGTATCGGTCACGGGCCACGTACCGAAATTACAAATACAAGACTATATGGAAACATTTCATAACGCTTGCGAGAAAATTTGGTATAATCACGGGGCGAAGTACCCGTATTTTATTGTAAAGCTCTTTGAAATCCTTGAAAATCCTATCACACTACGGTAATATTCCAACAATAACTGACTGAGCTACATTGCATGAAATAATTGTCTCGCGATAAAAAGAAAACATATTTCTATTTCATTATGTGAACATAGATGGTGGGAAGGGTTGCAGGCGGTAGTGCCTTAGAAAGCAGACTAAGCGTTTGAATTTAAACTGATGATCCGGGTTTAGGTTGACTCATTTTAAGAGCTGGCTCTATTAGTTGGGTCATAGTGCTATTACAGTTGCCGTATCTAGCGGGTATGCCTAGAAATTATAACACTCAATTTAAAAATCCAAACAGGGTTTTTGAGGGTGCGATAGGACCAATATGTCCTGCATTTTAGAAAAACCATTCTCAAAACATAATTGATATGTATTACGTCTTTAATATGAAGAGCGGCATAGTGATTTCTAACCTTTCGAATTTTCTGACAGACTTAATTTTTTTCAATTTCAGTCAAAGTATCTACTATCAGTTATTTCTGCCATTTCAATTGTAATTTATGTATTCCGCTGCTGTAGCAGTATAGGCTATGAGAGTACGTGATGTCTCTAAGGGCAATTTCGATATTATGTAAAGTTTTCCTGTTCAGAGGTTGCCGTGATTCTGACAAAAGGCAAGCTTTGGAAGCAATGTACTGGCGGAAAGCTTTCAACGGTGCGACTCAAGCATTGTCCTGGTTTACTTTTGTTTATTGATCTTAGCTGCTTATAGCAAAGTTTTGTAAACTTTAGCAATAATTGATGAACTAAGATTCATAAATCTATAATGGATAAAGATTTCAAAAAAAAACAACTCCAGCTTTTGCTTCCATGCGTTTGCTTTAAAATGACATTTTCGCAGTTCTATTACAATCGCTTACTGATATGGCTCGTTTCAGTAATCCTCAAGCATTTATTCCTTATTCCAGGACACAATTCGGTATAAGGATGGGTCACTGATGTAACATCAAAACAAAGAAAAGCAAGTGTCCCTATATCTTTGTTTTTGATTTTCTCACTTACAACGTACGGCGCCCGCTTATCCAATATTAAGGTGAACTAAACCTAAGTGTTAATACCGGTGCTCTCTGGGACGGGTTAACTTGTACCGCAGCCTTCAATACGTCATAAATCACTTTCGCAGGGCTCTTCAGAGAGACCTATTTTTTGGGCTTTGGAATTTTCCTCCCTAAATTTACTTAACAAACCACTCATAGTCTTTCTCGTAGCAAATTCTTGACCGAATACAAATTTTGTATGGAACATTGTTTTTGCCGCCGTAACTCCACGATGACACTGATATTTGTAAGCTACCCAAATTGTTTGATTTTTTGCAGCTGCTAAATGCCCAGGTGATGATATCCAAATAAGCGACCTTAAATTTTGAAGCGAACAAAGCGTGTTCCCGATGCGAACGCAAATGTCGCGGACTATCATATTATTAAAAGGTAGGGCCATCTTGAAATATAAGGTCGAGGCTTGCCATGCTTTACGGCACGATAATTTGGTTAATCACTCACTTGGATAATAAGGATACTAAGAAACAATGCAAAACAGATGGTTTACTTAGCAAGCTTTACGAAGAAGATGATCGGAATGAAGTGAGAAATGTGAAAGGACTGAACGAGGGTAAATACTGTGTTTCTTCGGTCGTTGTAAACGAATTTAAATTATTGGATTAACTAGTGGTTATTATTGTTTGTACCTTGAATAGTTATATGCACCAATGATATTTACGAAGAATAGTGCATTTGCTTGAAAATCAAAAGGGGTCACGCCGCCATAAAACTATGCAGAAATGAATCCAAAAAAAAAACTAAAATACATTCTAGGAAGAGGTGTATTCTACCCGAGAGAACGGCTGGTGACATTCTTCGTTGGTCCTGGTCTACCGACAGAGCGCTTTGTTCCTTAACGCCTATTATCGTTCAAGTCCATCACGCAATTTCCTTTTATCATTCGGTGCAAGCTATTCATTCACACTTTCGTCGTAGAAATTCTAGTAGCATGTTAGATAGTAGTAAATAGATGAACTTCTATTTGTTTAATTTTATTGCGGTAGAATTAAGATAGGCCTTTGAGGAATCGTTAGAGCTAAAGATAAGATGCTAAGAAATATTTCGCTTACAATGGCGCTACTTAGAAGGTGTTCACAGTGTTTTTGCGGCAGAGTAGCGGCTATCTAGCTGGACTTCAAACCTCATAAACTTTATAAACCTTATAAACAGGCCGCGCATGCAACCTAAATGCATGATTACAACCGGCAATCAATGCAGCACCGTGTAAATTTTACTCAGACAAATTTAATTAAATTCAACAAAAATCATTATTACAAGAACGATTATATATATTACCGTAAACTGTAATTACGGTAATAGAAACGTTCTTATTATGACCGTACATACAATTCAGATGAAAACCTTCCACTAGTGTTTTGACAATCTGGATCATCATAATTTCAGGTTAATTATTCCACTTTTAGTTGTAGGACAAGCCATACAAATTTGTCCTTTACTTCTGTTGATTCAAAGATGCCAGTGTATATATGTGCCAAAGTCGTGGTTGGCTATCATTATTAGACAGATAGGCTTTCGAAGACTCATTTCTGGCTTGCCTTGCTGTAAGCAAGAGGCCAGAGCATCATGTACGTCCTGTTAAGGCATGATTTGGCCACCGCGTTTCCTTTTATTTGAACCTGTAAGCTTGGCCTCACGGGACCTGCTCGAGGCTGACAAGTTAATTTGGGCAACTTATCTAAAGCAGAGATGGGACGTCACCATGCTGCTAGAGCAAGAAGCACCGCTGAAGGTACTGACATAAAGTGAAAACTCATTTATCATTATTTGCCCGAGCCAAAGTCACGAGGCGTTAGAAGATATCAATTCGCCGTAAATTGTAATCATACGTTGAATTTGTTGACGTTTTCCTTTAACGGGCAGACGAGTCTACGCAAGAACAAAATTAGACTCTAGCCTTGGGGCTAAAAAGTAAGGTGTGTCGTAGGTGTTTAACAAGGGCAAAAAAGTTTGGCTTCCGCAGTGCGTCTTATAGCCAGAAGCCTTTAGGCTAGATCACGTAACAGGTTAGATATGATGTCAAAAAGGATGAAGTGAGCTTAGGCAGAATAATTGGTTACGTTCCCAATGCTTAAAGGGTAAATCGAAAATTCTCAGTGCTTTATCGGTAATGAAAATGATCATGATTAGTACACGCTTTATATAAATGTTAATTAAATCTATTATGGTTTTTCGAGTCATAAACATATATATCATATATTAGGAAAAGTCTGTATGAGGACCACACCTACTACCTATATTTGTATTTGCGAATTAGTTCCTACCCCTTATGTCTCTTTGTATACGAAGGTCGGTTTGGGTTCTTTTGTCTTTGATTGATTTCGAAATCGGTCGAGGTAGAGTACAATATTCTAGAAAGCGATATTCATCAATATTTTTAAAACATGGAGTAATAACTAAACGGGATCGATTTCGAATTGAGATCTCGGTTCTGCTTTAACGTTTTTTTTCTTTTTTTTTCTTTTTTTTTTTTTACGGAAAAAGGTCTCAAATCTGCCACTTGGAATAAGTAGCATTTTTTCAGGAGAGGATGTCAATTAGAGTGCTTTAATTTGGTTGGTTATTTTTTAGGCTATCTGACATTTCACAACTAAGGCAATTTTAAAACGTGGGCAATGTTTTGTTGTTCTCCGATACGTTAAAGAAAGTGGGATCTGAAAGGGCTATTTTATTAGTACCAAAATTGCCTCATGATTCGAGTCCCACACTCCTTGTCGGTACGACACCTCAACTGAAAACTCCTTCGCATTCAGTTACTTCTTGCTTTTCTTGCCCGCCCAGTCAATTTTTCAGGTTATTAAATTATTATTATTATTTTCCAGGTTATGCAAGATTATTTATTCGCTTTTCTAGTTTTCTAGGCGAACGTGTTGAACAATATACACCGGTTAAAGCCTATTTTCTTACTCCATAAAGTAGTTCTCGTCGTTTTGCTGCACAGAATACTACCTTGCGTTTGGACACTAACACCAAGTTTGATGGTACTTTTTACTCGTATTGGACTGAAGTGCACGAGAGGAACCCTAGTGCTTCAAAGTGACTTGATTATAATATACCCAAACATAACATTCATCGACGTAACGAAAGCCGTTCAATAGAGCTTTAAAGCTTCGAAATTTTTGACCTACCTTTGAAATGGAATAATCGTTTGATAAGCTATAAAGTTCTCACTGTGCACAGACACGTTTTTCTAGTTATTTTTTATCATTTGAAATTCTACAATGTATTCTTGGAGCTCATACGAAATGCCTCCTTAGTAAAAGGATTAGGATCATGAGAGCTTTGTGCAACACCGTTAACTTGAAGCACAGCTATGAGTGTCGACGTTTCTAACGTTCTATGAACGTCCATAGCTCATTCATTTCATCCTTCATCATAGAATAGTTACGTTATCACATGAGTTTTTATGAAATAATCCAACTAAATATCTATATAAGTTTTAAAAATTAGACGGTTCTACTATACCGTTCGAATGTCTTGCCTTCTATACGGGCATTTGCTGTGCCAGTCACTTGAGTCCGTTTAGTTTGTGACCAGCTAATACTTGCTTTAGCTAAGTAAATACGAATCATCATCTATTTTTATAACAACATTAACTTACGATCGGTTAGGATGCATCATAAATCATGTAAAGTTTGCCTGGTCGTTTCTGCTGTTAATGTCCCGCCCAAAAATGTCTTGAGAACATCGGTTTAGGACATAAACATTGTTCGATGAATAGAGCCAGCTTACGGTGAAGTGAACCTTGACGATTCTACCTTTTGTTGCGTAGATATCATTGAAGCGTAACTCAATAATTAGATACGCTTTCACCGACGAAACAACATTTGGCCAAATCATAAAGTCGCCAAGGCCAACACAAATCTTTTGTCGTGACACGCCTATACTATGATTACTAGCAAATCGAATTACTTTTACACCATGAAGAAACTGGATTACTCTGTACATGTTGAAGTACCTATCGTCTAAACCAAAAAACCATTTAGATCGTTTTCAAGCTTCCCAAAAGATTGGTCTCTTTCTTTATCTCTATTATTCGCCTGTGCTCGTTCCAGCTAAAGGAAAAAAGATGCATTTCACTCCTTCAGTTTCAAAACTAATCTTCTTCTTTACAGCATGATGCTAAAGCTACTACACGTTCTATAGTATCTATCATTGTATCCGTGTTCGAAGAACGACGCCTACGACTGCGAAGACAGGCGCGATACGTAGACCTTGTTATCAAATAAGTGTACGTAAGTTTTTATCGGCCGTTAATGGAGATGAAATTGTATCGATACGTATATCTTCTTCCCTAGCAAGATGATGCCGAGTGATCCAAGTAAGGCGAGCAACCACGAAAGAAATGGCGCTATAATGAAATACAGGAAAATTATTTGCTTCAAATTTGATACTATATATATATATAAGGTACCATTTGAAGATCTACTTGACATATGTATATACAGTTTTTTTTTTCTTATAGCTATCTTGCTTTAAGTTTATATATCGTCTTTTTTTCACCGTGATACAAATTATAAAGTTTCTTGTTAGTCTTCTTTACAATTTATTGTAGAAGTAGAAATATAGATTTGAAAGGAAGTACTAAAATATCAATTTTGAAACAGGGTTGAAGCGTATGGCAACACAATCAATCTGCGATATGGCAGGGTATGAGAACTATGGACCAATTAGGCCGTGAAAAATTCGCGCTCCAGATAGAATACGCAAATACTGATCGAATATCGATCTTACCTCTCTAATTATAAACAAACTCGAAAATTGGGGTGATTTTTCTTATTTAATATATATATATATATATATATATATATATATATTAAATTTAGTTGGAATGAAAAGTAACTATTTAATAATTCGATCTAAAGTACCTTTTAACTAATCTAGCTGCAAATTACAATTTTTTTTCCCTCGCTGTCATCACACATCTCTCCGTCTATATTTCGAGTGTTACGTTCGGTATCGCCGTTAGGCATATCATCAAACGAATGGTTGGCTAGCTTCCAGCACGAAGCGAAGTCTATCTACGTACGGATTTGAACCCTTTCCTTGCTTCAATAAAACCTCATACGGGTGGACATTAAGGTGCTTTCTTCTAATATGAACCCCCTAATTTTAGCCTAGAATGAAAGTTCTCATGCTGCATTCTTTAGCTAGCCTTTGTACGGTTGATCTCAAAACTACCAAAAAGTATTGCTTCAAATACTTGTTAGACGGAATGACCCGCGAATCCAAACAGAAAAATCACTATATATATTAATCTATGTTCTTTTTTTTTTTTTTTTTTTTTTGTTTTTGAAATACTGAAAACGACCTGATGCCAAGTTCCTGTAATCTTCTTAGGCAGCGAACATGCTGCATGCACGCGTGCATTTTGCGTCACATGTAATCAAAGCACCCAATTATTTCGTAATCGAGACAACTCGCCTAATATTTTTTAATAAATATATCTGTATATATTACCATTGGCCAGCCTCATTGGTTCGCGGTAATCGCCCAGAGAAAAGCAACAGACAATTCCAGTAAACAGACCGATCCACACGCGCAACGAGAACAAATTGAAAAAATCGCTCATGCAGATCGGGTAGCGATCAGTGAATCCGGAATGTAGGTTAACTCTGCAGATATTTCTTGTCTTGCTATTTCCATTGGCACAAGCACTACCAGCCAGCAATGTGGCTATCACAATACACATCTGCAAAAAAACATCAATACATGAGTAAAATTAACCAAATATAGCTAAAATGAAATTGCCCTATACTAGTCAAAATGTTTTTTCTGCCGTTTCTAAAGTAGTATTTGTAAATGGTCCTATGAATTACTGAATACGTATTTTAAACTGCAATACAAATAACAAACATCAACGATAGATAAATCTGACTGAATCACTTATTTAAGTCGAGCATTAAAGCTTGCTGCACATCGTACTATTTTTAAAATGCAGTAAATTTATTATCAGAAAAATGTTTTTTTTTTGTTTACAATAAAGAAATCAACGCTCTTATTTGGCTTTAGATCTGTAATTGCATAGTAGTATACAGGGGTAGATTCCCTCGAAACGAATAGATGAGTAAACAGAATATATACGTTTAGATCCATTGCGCTCTCAAAAGCACTATTGTGAAAATGTAAAACTCTGTAATTGAAAATATTATGTTCGATTTTTTAAATAGCCAATGCGTGAAAGTCGTGTCCTGCAACGAAGTAACCGCTCTTCTATAAAGGCATTTCTCTTCACATCAAATGAAGACTCTTGTGTTTTTGAATTTCGCCAAAAACCTTACCATAGGCCACGTCAAGGTGGCGAAATCCAAAGGGTGACCCTCGACTGTTGTCATTACTAGGGATAGTTCGTCACTAATCATAGCAGGCACTATGGAGCTGTTGTAGGTATTCTGGTAGCTCAAAGTGTTGATTTTGAGATCCGGAAGCTCTAAGCGCTGCGTGAGCACCGGGCTGCCCTATAGTAGTCGAGACATTTGGAAAACTTGTAAACATTATTAACGTGTTTTTCCATTTATACACGTCTGCGTTTATACACATCTGCTAACAATTTGACACACTTTTAATCAACTTAAATGTCTGACTGCTTGATTATTCAAATAGGGAAATGCTAAGACCCTATGAAGTCCAATACAGAATTGCAAATGGTTGATAAGAAACATATCGGATGATACCATTAACATGGTTACCATCGCAGTCGACCAATCGTGGCTAATTGCCAGCAACAAGACCTCGTTACCCACCCTTGTTTTAAACTTGATTTGAGCGTCAGGATATCCGAAGAGCCGTAGGTACGCCTTACATAGGCTGCTTCTGAATTCAACTTGTTCGCAGTTAAAAACAATACGTACGGGATAACACCATTCACACATTCCGCTCGCTTTAACAGTGACCCATTTTCTCGAATTGGTATGCCTCTGCGACCCTCCATTTCTGCAACGATATTGCCAATTGAAGTCACTTCTATATACGGGCCATTCAATTTATTTTACGTGTTGAAGAGTGGCTCTCTAAAGTCTTACATTGACTATGTCGCAATAAGAGTAAGTAATATAGACTGTCAACAGCATCCAGTCCTATTTACTTGTCGTTTCCTACCTTGCTTGTTAGATATAGCTGACATGTATAATCTTATCCTTCTAACCCTAAAAATACTATCTTAGATATTTTATTACATTTTAGTGAAGCGAGCAGAATAGATAAACTGAGCACTAAGGTACCCTGTATATTCCATTGAAGCTATTTATTTGTTATATATATAATCGTTACATGTGTATTCCCCAGCGCGGAACGAAGTTTTTGTTTATCTGGTAATTGGTAATGCTTTTGATGACGATCCGTCATATCACGTACCGGTAATAGTATATCAGACGCGGCGTCCAAATTTCCCAGTAATAGGCTGGAATTCGATCCACATTCTTGTAGGCTGCTTCTGCCCATATTAAGGCCATATTGTGCCATTCCTATAGATATATATTGTTGAACCCGTAAAAAACTAATTAATTCCAGGACTACGATAATTGTCAAAAATTAGTTCGTAAAATATGCTATAAAAAAACTCAGTCGTATCTGAAACCCTGAGTGAAAATTGAGTGAAACTCTGGTAGCTTCGTTGTCCTTATATTCAAGCCATCGAACGACCCGACACCTCAATCCGTAAACGTAAATGTGACAAGTGGAAACGGGTAAAACACTAAGCCTCGAGTGACGCTTTCGCTAAATCTCCTTTTAGGCGGTATAAAAAATAATAGTAATAATAAAAAATAGCATTCGCATTGGGCATAGGATTAGAATTCAGTTGTGCAAAATCCGATTTTTCTGCATTAACAGGAAAATAAAGCTGTTTTGATTACTAGGGTGTGTATATTTTTTAACAAATAATCGTGATAATGCTAAAAATAATAAATATTACTTAATATATACTAACTGATATTGTAATTAGGAAGCTTCGAAATTACGCTGTTCTCACCAAACAGACGAGACCGTCCAGATGCAATTGATGGGGGATCCCTTCGATACGGGAGATTCCATGGGCTAGCAGACGAAGCGTGACCTCTGTTATGTTACTGAACATTGGAGTGGGTGGCACATTAGATGATTGGATTTTCCCATTTTTTACCACGTGTCTGCGAAGGGCAGTTTCTTGATTAAAAGGCCTCCTTGTAGGACGTCGATAAGGCCGCTGTGAACTTGAAGAAATCATCGGGGAAGACGAGGAAGTTGATAGCGGTTTCAAAGATGATGTCTGGCATGCTGTGAGCAAATGTTCAATTTAAACGATAATTTCTAAAGCATGTAGTTCCCAAGGCCTTCTAGCACGAAATAGAGCGGTCGCGCACTAATAAGCAACTGATACGAAAGGTATAACATCGATGATGTACTACTCCCAACGAACCTTGATTACCAATCGGGAATAACTGACGTTTTTATGAGATGGATCGTATGGCGAATTCACAACCTTTGCGTCCAGAATCACCTTGAGTTATAGCACACCGTATTAACTGCTAACTATTCATTTGTTGATTATATCAAAGTTGTTATAAAGGATATATATTAAAGATGTAATTTTAAGAAAAGTGTGTTGACAAGGAGTTCCAAAACTTATACAATCCAGTGGAAGAATAATCAAAGTTACACGTAACAGTCCGTGAATTCTATCTTCACTCATCGTTTTGTGAATACACTTCAAAACAATTATTTTTAACTTAAACCCTATAGGGAAGAAAAAGAAGGTCGAAAGATACCTCTTAAAGGACACTCAACCTTCAACTAAAAACCCACCGGCCACTTAAGATACTAACCGAGGCCTGGCACCTTTTAAGGTACATTCTCTGGACTGTGCTTCTCTTTTTCTCTAGAGATAATCATGAAATCAACATGATTATCTCTAGAATGAAAAAATCAAGCTAAATTCAATGAAGTTATGTTTGTGATGAAATCGCTAAACTTTGGTTATTCTCCCATTCAATAGCGTACATTTTTGAATATTTAGCAATTAATAAATAGATTTAGCTCAGTCGAAGGCTCTGGTAAATGGTGATTTTTCCCAAATTCGTTAAAGCCAAAAATGCTCTATGCACTGGAGGGTGATTGATGTTAACACAACTTAGCTACAAATCGCCGAAGTATCGTTGACTAAGCGCAAGTTACATATAATCACATCAACCTTGGCTATGCCGAATGTAACACCCACCAAATAAAGAGCTATTTTTTTTAGCTTTGTTTTTTTTTGGGCTATCTGGGCACATCGATTTCTGCTACATTACAAACACAAGCATTTCAATTTTAGTAAACTTAATAAAACCAACTGACCAACATCTTCATTGGTAAAGGTTAGTAGTAGCAGGAATGATCCGATAACCGTGGCGATCTGCATCTCGTCCACGTACTTTGCGGTATCCAAGCGATCTGACTCAACTAATCGTTGCCGTTAAGGAGGCGATGAGAAGAGGCGTTTCTCCCTTTTGTAAAAGAGCATTTCCACTTGGTGAACAGTTATGGAGCATAGAGCGTTGGGTGTGTGGATGTTCGAACCGAATAACAAGCACGGAAGACCAATTTCGAGTAAACTATAGTCGAAGGGAACAATTCTGAGCCATTTGGCAATGATTTTTAGAAAAAAAAAAAAGGGGGTATTTTGCCTAACCTAGACGAGTGGAAGCGTAGCTAAAGATATATTAGTCAAAACAGTTTAAACACATGTACCTGCCTAATTTTTAAAATAACAAATTCGAATATGGACATTGCGCACGTACATAAGTAACAAACAATATTATGTAGAAAGACATTCTGACGACACAAATAAATGTACAACTCGCTAGCCGTATGCGATTTATTATTAGTTTATCTTGTATATCTTCTTATCTAAAGTTACGGAAAATTATACTAGAATATCAGGATAGATAGTATATTATCCATGTATGAAGCTATCGATGACTTCTATTAACAGTTTAACTTTGATCCTTTGACAAGATATGACTATTGAGATATATGTTTCTATTCTTGTATTGAGTGTAGAGATATATTGCTGAATTCTTGTAAAATACCTAACGCATGATCCGATCGAGTGTTGCAATGAATATAACGCTCACCCAAATCACTCTATTATGTATCTAAATCAGCATCACAATGACTATTGTCTTCACTAAGATTAACGTGCACGCTCAGTAGCTGACGAGAGGGGCTTGTTTTTCTAGCAGAACGAGAGCCGATCTAGCTATCCAAAAGAACCTCACTGCGCTGAACATGGTACCTTTACCGCCACGTTCATTAGGTTATTCTAATTAGTAAAAATAAAAGCCATATATATATACATTAGACATAAGTAGCTCTGTGACTAAGTGCGGCTAAGTGACGTCTGGGCGCGATGCAACGAGCAAACGAATCTTATACGCGTTATAACCACGATACGAAATGGAAGAAACACGAACCTGAGAAATGGACGCGAGGTACCGTGTGTTTTTTTTTCTTCCCCAGAACCATCGAATACACAGTGATGTGTGTTTATTTACCGTTGATTACATAATCAAGATTACGTGTTAGATAGCATAACACCTTTCCTCTATATATATAGGTACATTCACATATTTTATACTTAGCTAGTTCGTATTCTGAATAGAAATTTTCTACATTTGTGCTTCTTTGGTGATATGTACAGTTTGACGAGCTGCGAACGGATACACATTCTATGCGATTGAAACGTTTTAACCCGTTTGTTACCTCTAGAGGCACTGGCGGCCATTTGAAACAAAGGCGTCCCTTGGAAAGTCTGTCTAATCCTTGACAGATTCCGTATTATTTGGTCGCATGTTTGTTTATCTCTACGTAAACTATTTAAAAACATCAAGTTTCATTATCGTCATCGAAAATAAACACAAACGACTTAGAAAAAGTGATACCAACATGCGTACAAACCTAAATGAACAAATTTTCTCTTTGGAAAGATGTAAATTAGAGCATCTTTACAGTTTTATTACCCATAGTATATGTACCTAGGAGACCGAATGTTTCTTCATAATCAGATCAAATCTGTCTCATGTACGTTTACGCACACAGAACTAAAACGTTGATCAGAGTTCAATAAGCAAATTATTATGGTGAGGTACGTTTGAGGTAGCATAACCAGTTTGACTTATATGGTCATTCCTTCCTCGGACCATTCAATGGATGCCGGGTTTAATGAGCAGGGCCTGTGACCCTATATAATGTCATTGCGTATATAGGATTAGGAATAAAATTGTTTATTCGTTGGCGTAAAAGGGGGCGTACTGATACCAATACACTAACTGTGGATGTCTACCTAATTTCTGAGAGTAAAACGGGCCTACATTGACTAGATTGTACTCCAAACGAAAATTATTTACTAGTTATTTTCAACATACTGTTGTACACGACCCAAACGTTTCTTATTATTATAATCATCGTTATTTATTGGGCAAGTATTAAGGAGTATCTGCGACAAAAAACCTATTATAGTAGAACTATGCTCCAAAGAGTTCGATCCGCAAAAACAATTTGACATTAAATCATAATCAGAAAATTTAACGATAGGTCTATATAAAGGCATTATATAAATATAAAAGGCAGTATTTTAATGAAGCTAATAATTTTTTCAAAGACAGAAAGGTAAGAATATTTATTCATACTGGTGTGATATAATACCCCCAAAGTACCCCAATCTCGCAACTCATATAGGCATGATTTATCGAATTCCTATTATTCACTGACCTCAAATAAACTCTAACGAGTTGTATATGGTTGCCCAGAGGTGCCATTGATTTCCGCTCCCAGATGCTAGTGGCTATGGCTACAACGGCTTTTAAACTGTAGCGTAAGGAAATAGATCTAAGATATCGTGTAGGATCAGAGCAGTTTAATACAGCTTGAACTATTTTCATGCCTTTGAGTGGGTACTTGTCAGCTTCGCTGAGGCTCACGGTTAGTTCCGCTACATTGAACGCCCTTTAGTAACGCACGGATAGAACAATACGAACGGATGTTAACTTTTTTTTCTTAAGTCGATGCAGTGATCTTCAAAGGGCTTTATAGTTGCCAAAAGAAAGTAAATAGAATTCGATAACAACCTGCAAATTGCCATTAATTTATAATACTCTGGCCGTAACGAAATCACGGGTTGCAATTTATTAGTCATAGTCTTTAGGACGGTAAACATCTATTCTTTGTTT